CGAGGTAGAGTATGGTACTCTAGCTGTAGTCTCCCGGGGCTGCAGCTCTGCATTAGAGATGTAGGAGCAAATTCTGCTCCTGGTGATCTATCCCATGCAGAACAGAACTAGCTTGCGGGCAGCAGTGGATCTCATTGTAGAACATTTGTGGGATGTTCTCAGTCATGCCTGCAGCATGGAATAATTACAGAGCACGTATATGGAGGGAGTCAAGGAGTCTGTTGTGGCTAATGATGCAGGCACTTCTGCAGCTCACGCTGACAGACTCCTTAACTGATCTTTCCATCTAACATGATACACTTTCACAGAGCCTTGTCTGTGAAGAGAAGATCCAAAGTGAGGGCGAAACACATTTTTCCTGCTGATGGCATAGCCATTTTGGATAAAGTACAAGCAGACCCGAGACCCTGTTTGCCAAAATGCAGGATCAGAGGGTAATCTACAAATAGTCTCATCTGTTTTCTGGGGCTGCTGCTTCAGCCAAAAGTTTGCTGGATCAGCTGAAAATCGAGAACTCGGGAACCAGCCAAAGCAGCATTAGATGTTTAACCTTTAAACATGAATCACTCTTTTACCTGCAGACTGTTCTAGCACTTCACTTCTGCTTATTGTACAGTAAGATTTAGCCCTAGAATAAATGCTACTGTCATTGTGTAATGGGACACAGAGCAAGCCGAGGTTTGGTGGGGTTGGACTGTTGGTTTTTTTAATCCTTGTTTGTGCAAATAGTAGGTGGAGAAAAGTAGTTCTGGATGGAACTACTATGGTCGGTGTAGTTTTATGCTCAGGTTCCTGTTCCGGGGTGATTCATGGACTGGTTTGTACCTTGTCCCTTCCACACTACATAACACACACAACTGAACTGACATTGATTCGAGTCAGAGATTCCAGGACTGTTACATTTAATAGCTGTCTTGTTTATATTATTTCATGCATTATGCATGGCTATTGGCAGAATGATCTGTAAATAAATGAAGGGAATGGAAGACAAAATTCTGGAATACCAATCTTACAGAAATGATAATATTAAAATAAAACATTTGCATGAGGCCAGGATCACTGCAGAGACATCTATGCCTGCATATATATGTTATACACACACACCCCTTGCACAAAAGCACCTCACATCCTATGTAAGTAGCCACTTAGTGCACATACCTACTATATCCTTCCTCGCAAACTTTCACACCTCTCATGTTCGTGAACACAGTTGTGCCTGGCTATTTCACACTATCCTGGGTTTTCATAAAAATGGCCACACTGGGTCAGATCAATGGTCTATCTAGCCCAGTATCCTGTCTTCCGACAGCGTTCTGTACCAGATGCTTCAGAGGGAATGAACAGGACAGAGCACTTAGTGAATGATCCATCCCCTGTCATCCAGTCCCAGCTTCTGGCAATTAGAGGTTTAGAGGCACCCTAAGCATGGGGTTGCATCCATGACTATGTTGGCTGATAGCCATTGATGGACTCATCCTCCAGGAACTTATCTTTTTTTAATCCAGTTATACTTTTGGCCTTCACAACATCCCCCAGCAATGAGTTCCACAAGTTGACTGTGCATTGTGTGAAGAAGTACTTCCTTATATTTGTTTTAAGCTTGCTGCATATTAAGCAGCATCATTTAAGCCATTTTTAAGAGACCGTTTTAACAGCCAGCATCTCACCTCATATCCAGCCCATTGAGAAATAAGATTCGGTCCCCAGCTTTGAGAGCAGCCTTCTCAGCTGGGCTGCCTAAATAAAGGAGGAAATGAAACGTGTCATTTAGTTGTCCTGGTCTTGTAGTGCGGGATGCATTAAGGCTGCCGACAAAGAAACATGCCGATTGTGGATATGGTTACAGGGGACCTCTGCTTAGAGGGAAGTTAGTTTATTGGAAGAATGACTTCACTAGAAAATGCCCAATTCATAAAGATACTCTGGGGAAAAGCAGCTTGACAGCGTCAAAGGGATGAGAGTTTATGCTAAAGTAATAAAAACAAATAATGTTTCTGACAGCCATTCAGACTAGATCTTGGGTGTAAAGCTCAATGTCACCTGGTAACGTCAGGTTTCCTTACCAGGCAAAATGGACTCAATCCACACGGGGGCATGTCCACGTAACGTGAAGCCAAAGCTTTTGCTGCCTTTGTAAACTCGAACGGTTCTGCAGGTGGAAAATCAAAACCCAACAAGGAATTAAATCAAAACCCAACAAGCTTTTGGTTCCCGTTTCATATTCCCTTCCTGCATCACGGCACGTTTTGGACCTTTTTCGCCCTGCATTTCAATAACATTGAGTTGGGTGCCCCCTATTTAAGGTGGATAAAAAATTGATAATTTTTTTAAATAAAAAATTCAGAATTTTAACATTTAAATTAGATTTTTTAAAAATTTAAATAATAGTTTTTTTGTTTAAATTAAATGCAAGTTTATTTTTTAAACATAAACCTATTTAAAATTGCCAATCAATGTTAAAGCCTAAACTTATTATAATCTATTAAAATCATTACAATGAAATACAGAACAATAATACTAAACCCTACATGTTTGCTGCCAAATTTTAAAGAAAGTTCCACTGACTCACTGACTAAGCACCTGAACTAGAGTTTGTTGAAGCGCTAAATCAGCTTGGGTGGTGGCGTGTAATAGAATTCACATCACTCTGGGCTCCCCCAGGCTTGCTAATTCCCATCATGCCCCTGGGCAACACGTTTCCTCACAATGCAAAGCACTTGAAAGAGCTGATGGACTCAGATGCTCTGCATCTCTCCCCAGGCCAGGCCAATTCAAATATGTCCTGGGGCCTCTGCAGATCATCTGATTGACCAGTCCCCATCTCCCATGTAATCATTCATCTCCTTCTCCAGCTCCGCCTGCACTGGAGAGAGAAAGGAGCTGTAGTCTGAGCTGGAGGAGACGGCAGTGACTAGGGGGAAAACTTTAATTATAGGCAATTTGAGACGGAGAGCAAGCAGTGACAGCAGCTGGGAGACCCTGGCGATGGAGCAGATAATGAGTCAAGAGAGGAAGTCCCCCAGCCATACCTCAGATGTCCCCACTCCTCCATCCTCAGGTAGTCAGCGAGAGGGCCCATGCCAGGACCCTGTGGTGCTTGGTGCTCTACGAATACCTCGACTAATTAGCTAGCTACAGAGCGTCTCCAGAAAGTTCTGGGACACAGCACTCTCAGGTGTCTGAACAGCACAGCTTGCCCACTCACTCCTTACACGGGGTGTCTCACCCTGGGGTCCCCTGCCACCGCAGGTTTTATAGCAGCTCAAAAACAGCCCCGCCCCAGCTCTTCGAGTGCTCTTGGACTCAACTGCCTCAACTGGGGCATCCAGAAATTAAGGCTCACCAAATCATTGGCCACTTGAGAAAATGTTGAGCATCATTCCCAATTCTGCTCCCATTGAAATCAAGGGCAAATCAGTTGCTGAAATATGGGCAGGGAATGATTTATATCAAAGTGATTTAAATCTTTGATTTTAATCATGCTTTAAATCAGCAATCAGAAAATCTTGATTTAAATAATCAGTTTTAATGATGTTTTGCATTTGTATCTTTTAGTTATTTTCCTAAAGAGAGGCTGATTTTCATTGGTTGGTAACCATTAAAACTTGTTGATTTACTACCAAATACAACCTTTACACTAACATTGGTGCTTCTTTTTGCTAATCAGGAGGTTACACTATATATTTACACATTTATTTAAACAATTATATAGCTTAACACACATTCAGATTAATTTTTACATTTTTATGTTAGAAAATGGTAAATGATGCATTTCTTATTTACCAAATTACTGTATTAATTTTTTACTTGCAATTTGTGTCAAATTCTATTTGATGGAAATTCAAATGCAATTTAAAGTCATATAAACAGTATTAATTTTTTTATTAAATAAAACTACTTTAAATATGCTGGTTACATTAAAAAAATCAAAAGTTGATCAACATATGTTTTGCATGTAAAACTAACTGAATTATTATACAAAGGAAGTATTATCTGTCGTTAGTACATTAAATTGATTGTTTCTGGTCACCATGTCCTTCAGCGTTTTAGAACTAGTAAATCTCATCCTCTCTCACCTAGTTTTTAATCACAGAATGGAAGAAGAAAACAAGCTTTTCTTCTTTTTCAATGCCCAGTTGGTTTAACTTTGAATGAACTAGTCCTTGAACTGAACTAGTTGAATAAACTGAAATGAAGAAAATGTTCTCTCTGCAGCTGCAGAACAGGCAAGTGCTGGCCCTGGGGGACACATGATTAAGCCATCTATTCTGGAGCCATAAAAGCGATCTTTAATACCAACTGAAACTTTCTGGAAGCTAAAGCTTAGTGTGCATTAACATGAGAGCTTTTGGCACAGAGCAGATGGGCTACTGAGGAGAGAGGAAGGGATGCCAGCAGCAACAAGAGCTGCTCAGGCCTTGGAAGGAGAGTCAGAACACCCACTCCTGCTCTCCTTTGGAAATTTCCTTTCTCAGCAATTAATTAACAAATGTATAATGGTGCAGTTTAGCAGAAATACTATATTCTTAACATGAAGACACACAGACATGGTCACCTGAGGATGCAAACAATAGGGGGGAAGAATTACTTGAGATAATACTAAGACTAATTGAGCAAGGAAAATTTGGGGTGAGCATTAGAAAAAATCTTCCCCTCAGGAGGTTTGTTAGACTGTGAAATTGTCTCAGGGAAGTGATGGAAGCCCCCTCACTTGGACCACTTAAAACTGGACTGGATACAGCTCTAGAAAGCTTGTTATAAGGACTGATCCTGTGCTGGCAGGGAGATGGACTGCATGGAGTTTTGATTAGTTCCATTTCTGTCTTCTGTGCACCAAACTCTGCCCTGACTTCCATGAAGGCGTACCTGGTGTAAATTGGGGCAGAATTTAGTTTGCTAATTCTGTGAAATACAACAAGGGTGCATTAGCAAGAGATAATCTGTGTTATAACCTCCCTTGGGAGGTACCAAGGCATCACCCTCATTCCACCCTGCCTGCAACATTCTCTTTGTAATTAGGCAATCCTAATCCCCTGGCTCCCACCGACAGGGCAGCATGGGGCTTTTCATGCTTTTGTGTTAAAATGAGACCGTTTTTTATTGAAAACGCTGAATGGGCTGAACTGGCCCAGCACTCTGGTGTTACTATGGCACATCTAATTACAGTTAGCACAACCCTGAGATTTGAACTCAATTCCTCACTCTGGCCTGGCAGGAACTAGGAGTGCCATGGTGGTGACTTGCTGGGACCCAGAGACACAATAGTTTGTGTCAATCTGTAGACACTTCTGGACACTTCAGGCATAGCGTTTGTAAGCTCTGGAGAGAGCCACATCCAGCCCTGCTCAACTGGGGGGAGGTCCAGTCACTGTGATGTAGATAAGGAGGGGAGTCAAAGGAACTGAAGAGGGGAGACTCAGGACTACGAGAGAAGTGTGGGAGGCTCCTCTACACCAGGGGAGGGAATGGCCTGGTCCCAACTCGTGGGGAATCCTGTCTGCAGAGGGATTTGTTCTGTGCTTGTGCCCATCAGTAAGCTGTTGGTAGGTGTGTAAGCAATTTAAGCATCTCATGATGGCTTTACAGTCAGTCCCGTAGGAGGATTCACCAGCTGTGATGACAATGAAAAAAAGAAGCCAGCACATTCTTTTGTGAAGTATGAAATGAGATCAGAGGGGAAGGGAAGGAAACACATGTCCTACTAGTCACTGGAATGGTTCAAACAGGCTCCTTGAGGCCTCCAAGCATGCCGAGGTCTAACCACATGGGGCCATGGAAATGGGTGTTTCACACCTTTCATTCCTTCCCCCAGTTTCTGCTACAGCTTCTAGTGGCCTCCCATAGATGGTGCTGAGGAGTTCCCAGCAATCATACAATCCAGCATATGCTCTGAGAAACTGAACACTGTACATGCAGCCTAGATGGGGACCTGCATCGCATCAGACCTGGGCCGTGCAGGAAGGAATTCCACAACCCCTAGCAGAGCACGCCCTCTTTACCAGAAGGGATTCATTGAAACAACTTTAGAAAACCAACTGAGATGAGAGGATCTACCAGGAAATGGGCCTGAGCTGTGATGTGGAGCCCAAACTTTCCCAGAGTTTAAAGTGGAGATGGTTGCAAAAAGGCCACAATTCAGTCTCATTTCTATACTAAATTTACTTGCTATGAGCCACCAAAGTCCTGTTTTTTCTCTCTTCCCTTTTTCCCATGTCTCTCTCCGTTACTGTGTACCTGCTCCTTCACAATAACCAAGCTTTGTTATACTAAAGACCAACCAGCTTTGCATTTGACGATTAAAGGAAGTATGTTACCTGCGGGCAGCCCCTGATCCCACACTGCTGGTGATCAGAGAAGTTGTTTTTCCGCAAACCCTTGCTGGCTTCCTCGTGGCTCCGAGGCACTGAGCTTGCCCTGGTCGACACTAGCAGCCGCTCCTGGTGGTCTTCGCTGCGGCTGCGCCTCAGCCGGTTGGTGTGCTGCTCGCTCTTTGACCGGCAGAGTTTGCTGATCAGGCTCTGGGACACCACCTCGTCAAAGCGCTGCCGGTGTTTCTTGGGGATGAAGATCCTGGCAAACATGACAGAGGAGGCAAATCAGAAGAGGAGCAAAGCCAGCAGCATCCCAGTTGTGGTGGCAGGGCTCTGGGTTCAGCGGCACCTGTGGAAAAGTTCAAAGTGGCCTCCAGTAGCACTAAACCCCACTGCACCATAAATCCATCAGCTTTCCAAACAGCGACTCATGCAAGAATACAGGACCACACCCAGTGGGCACGATCATCACATCTTTGGCTACATCACCTGCTGGATATTTGTGTAGGATTCTGTTGCAAAGTCCTCCTTACAGCTCCAGTCAAACCTGAAAAGCTCTAATGCCACCCTCTATAGAACTGCTGTAATTTGGGAGCAACGGCCGTGAAAACAAGAGGGATTTCTTCCAGCAGAGATGGATTTAAACAACTCTGTTCCCCCCCACCATACGCCCAGTCTCTGAATCTCCTTCAGCTGCCAGTCCCTCTCTTCTGGTAATGACAAGGTTCAACTCAAATCCCAAGTTAAATACTTGCCCCACTCCAGGTAACTTCCCAAACAGCCGGGAATGAGGTGGGGAAGAGTCTTGTCCCTGCAATGTCTGTTCTGTTGCAGCCCAACAGGTTCTGTTTCTGTGGGTTCTGGTACTTCAAAACGTCATTGATTTTTTTTTCCCCCTTCAGTATCTGGAAACCGCTATGGTATTTGCCGTGTATATGAAGTATCGTGGCTCTACAGCATGTGTGGTAGCAAAAAGGATTTTTAAAGTTGATCAGCCAGATGGTATTTCATAGGAACTACATTCTAACAGCAAAAGCAGGATGAAATCATCTGCCTTCCTCCAGGCATTCTCCGTATTACTGATATTCAGGTGTACAAACGCCCCCATACTAACGTCTATGCACAAGGATGCCAAGCTACCACCTCCAGACATTTACTGTTTTTTTTATTGGGACAATCTGCCGCCCAGAATTTTGATATCTATCTCCCCTCACCCAACTTTCCTGCAATAGTATCTTAACACACACCAACACTCCTCCTCTTCTGTATCTGAGCTTACCTCTTGGCTATGGGGGCAGGAGATATTGTCGTCTTTCTTACTCTTGGCAGATGCTCTGATATTAGGGTGATGGGTGCCAGTATAATATTATTAGATAGGAAGAAAGAGATTATCAAGAACTGAAAGGCAGAAAGGAGAGAGACGCTAACCAGGCAGCCTTTAAACTCATACCTTGTCTATCACATTAGCAGCAGCATTTGATATATAGAACATGCAAAGTGATTTTCTTTAACAATTTCTCTCTCTCCAGCATACTGAATCCTAAGGGAGGACCGTGGAATCAGCATGTCTCTCTTCCTGCTTGTGCCCTTTGCCAGCACCAATCAGCTGAGCACCATACCATCTGCTGCTCACTGCTCTGAGTAGGGGATCTGGACCTCATGGCTCCACCCTGTATCCTGACTTGAGTTTTCCCTTTCTAGTCTTCCCTTTGTCTTTCCATAAGGAACTGTGGCTTCACAGTCAACATCAGTCATTGGCATAGACCCAGATCTAAACTCTGCTCTGACTTTCACCTCATGCAACCTCAGCCCAGGATCTGATAAGCAGAGTGCAGCACACAGTACAGAGAGCTCTACTGCTGGGGTCATTTTGGCTGAAATCAATTTCCTCAGATAGGCTTCGGCTAAAAGACTTGTGCACAGAGAGGCCAACCTTCTTCTCTTTGTTACATTAGGTTTAGTGCCAACTCTGAACCCCTCGAAGAACATATCTCGGTCTGATAAATATTATATATGCTTTCCGTCTTCATTTGTCTGGCAAGCTGGAAAATACCAGGATCTACCAGCAAACACAGAATTCTCCTCGGAAAAAACAGATTCATTCATGTTTTGAGTATATGAGAAAATGAGTTACAAAAACTCTAAAGCCTTAAACTTTCTTCTGCCTCTGCACGTCTCTTGTGTCGTCCCTTCTCTCACAGTTTATTCAAGGTGAATCTATGACTCCCATGGAACTGATTAGCATGTTCCCACTAGGAGATCAGTAAACTCTCCGAAGTGTACAAGGAGGAGGAGCAGGCTCCCACCGTTAACAATGACTGCCTGGCTGACTCCCCCGGAGCCTTAGCTTTCCAGTATAGACTAGTTCACATAGAAGACTGGTCTCCATTCAGTTTCTGAGCTTTTTTTTTGCCAATAATTGGCTCTTTATTATTCATTTTGGGCCAAGTTCTTACTTCAGTTACATGCAGGCAGCCCCACTGGGCTTGCCCATTTATACTGCGTTGTGCCAGAGCCCATGGGGTCGTACCATTGAAGGCATGCACATCAGATAGCCAGAGGCCTCACTTTCCTGGATAAAAGCTTCAGGCTTCAGCTCCTGGGACTCAGGGAAATGTCACTGCTTTGTTTCAGTATGTGGAGCAAATTTTCATTTCCACTTACTGACTGGAATAGTGACTTAATGACATTCCAGTTCACCCCACTCCCACCCATTTGGTTTGCACTAGTTAAGGGCTTCTTGGGAAACTGGAATCCTTTAGTGTTTCAATAGTAACCATCCTTATAACTCAATATACCTCCATAGGGAGTCTTATTGTCAGTCTATTCTTCCACAATTATAGTTGTTCACTACCCAATACATTCTGGCTAGGGTCAATAGTTCATTATTACTTTGCTGCCTTGTTGTCGTCTGGTAATCAAAATGAACTCAGTGCATAAAAAAAATTTCTAATATCTACGGCGAACTAGGGACCCATGGTTTACAGCTTCCAAATAATCTAGATGAAAGATCACAAATGATATACATCAAGTTTTTGCTGAATTATAAGCAGAATTATTGGGCCAAACTCAGTGTTGGTTTCTCAAGACCTAGCTCCATTACTTCAGTGGAGTTGTGGCCTCTTATCCAGGCGTTGAATCTGCCTCACTGTCTGACAGCCATCTATTGGTGAACACAAATCAAGCAGAGAAGAAGGTGATAGAATAATGACTGAACATCAAGAGAGGGACTGAATGGATAGTTCAGGGAACTAAAGGTGGGATGTAGAATCAAGTAATCAGCCCAGGGCAGTGGTGACCAAAAGTCATTACCATCTGATTGCTGTTTGGTGCCTTCTGTGAAATGAGTTTGTGGGAGTCAGACCAGTTCCGAGGATGCAGCCATCCATTCACTTCAACTCCCATTACAAATGGCATTAGATGGTAATCTAGAGCCCTGGGACTGATTGGGCCATGAGGACTCTAATCCGTAGAGTGGTTCCTCCCGGTCAAATTTCACCCACATCGGTGAGGAGCAGCACTCCTGTTGCCTGGGCCGGGCCCGTTCTGTGGAGAAGCAGAGGAATCCCAAGCTGCAATCTGGCCCCTTCTGCCAGCATTAACATTCATTTTAAAATATTTAAAAGAAAAACGATCCCTGACTGTGCGTAGAAAATAACGAGTCTCTCTGCTGCAGCAGGAATGTTTAGCATTTGCAGCTGCACCCGTCAAAGGCATCAAGCTCCCAGGAGTGTTGTCCCCCTTTATTTAGGCAACTCATCAAAGGGGATTTTGGAAAAAAATGGATGAATTCAGGGTAGTGGGAGGAGGGAGGGTTTTAAATCCCACGTCTACCAAGTACAATGACGGCTTTAACTCCCTCATAGTGAAACGCAGAACTCAAAACTAGTGCTCATACATTAATAATAAGTAGCAACAAACTGCTCACAAGCACCCCTGAGACTGAAATATGCCCATGTTAAATTTGGTGATCGTTTTAAAAAAACAACAATGAACACATTTATAAAAATCACAGTGTGTTTGTGACTAAGTGGCTGTGACAAGACACAAGGACACTGCCTAGCCCCGACCCTAAAGGGTTAATGCAGCAGCCTAGAGGGAGCGGGGAAGGGCTGCCTCGGAGGCTGCATAGCACTACTGGAGCCCTGCTTACCCGTCTGCATGTGGGGAGTGGTGGTTGTAGTTGCTGTCTTTGTTTTGCTATTGCCAGTTTTGCTCTGTTTGGACTCTCTCTAAACTCTTATAAAAGTGGCCCTGGGAAGAAGGGACCACAACTGACTGCAGGCTGCCTGACTGCTCTGTTTTGTGTGCTGGGAAATCAGCACAACCCCTCACAGTGACACAGAAGAGAGGATTACATTCCTTTTTTAAAAGGTGACAACAAATAGCTCACCTGGCACTAACTGCAACCCTCCTGGGAAGTAGGACAACCTCATCCCCATTTCTCAGACGAGGAAGCTGAGGTGCAGACGGCAAACTGGTCTCAGAGGTAGGAACAGAACTCCCAGTCCTGAGCCCTAACCACTACATTGTGCTTTGTTTCCCCACCAGGGTAAACGCTGGACTCTCTACATGCAAAATAAAAACCTTTTTTGTTTTTTGCTGTTAAAATTTGAGGGCCAGAACCTCAACTGGTGTAAACTGGCAACGCCAGTGTGGCTATTCCAATTCACACCAGATGAGAGCTGGCCCACACTCTTTAAATGAAAACCACAACAGAGAGAAACTACAGCTAGTATTATAAACATGATTACAGGATATTTTAAGTGTTGCACTATTAACATATTCAGTGTTAAAGAATTAGGAGTTGTTAGCAAGAAGGAGGGTAAAAGACTGGTATAATAATCTCACTAAAACCACATGAAGTGTTTTTCATCTTCAGAGCACTTTACAAACCATTAAATGATAATTACTCACACGCTGCCTTTCATTCATAACTATACAGTCTACACAAGAACCATATCACTCACCACTAGAATGCATCTGGGGGGATGTAACTGTTTAGCAATGATCAGTAATACTACACGATGGTGCAGGGCACAAAGTGAATACTGGATCCAAATGCAAAAGGAGTTCCTAAGCCTACTGAATACTGAGGTCGGATTATTTGGCCATGGGGCTGACTGCGCCCCAGCTATACCAAAATCCACTGTGTGCGCAAAATGTGGAAGGACTCCCTTTAGCCCCACGATTCAGTGGCGTTGAAGACACTGTTTTCTGCACACCTTGTATCTAGGAAAATGCAATGGTGTTTCTGAA